CTTATGTGTGTTAATGATAATAATGCTTACTAGCATGTCATAACAGAAAACTTTTGAGACAGTCCCCATGGTGTTGTATCCTCGTCCGTTTCATAATTAGATCTGTGCATAAACATTAAGAGTGACAAAAGCTCTCCAGTAGACTGTATGACAAGAAGCCTGACTTCAACTTTCTAACAATCAACTTTCCATTCGTGTTCCAGCAGCTCCAGGTTTTTTGTGTCTACATTAAAACCTTTGAGGAAGCACAATCAAGTGACTCTACAATGGTTTCAAAGATTGTCAAATCACATTTGAATCTAAACAACTGGACATTGGTACAGTGTGGGTAGCCTTCAAAAACACTGGACTGGTTCAAGCGTTGGCTTATTTCCCACCCCTGTAAGAAATATGACTTCAAGAACTTTCCATTCGATCGTTCCAGCAGCTCCAGGTTTTTGTGTCTACATTTTTAAAACCTTTGAGGATGTAATCAAGTGTATTCCTTCTACAATGGTTTCAAAGATTGTCATATGACATTTGCTCTAAACTTATTTGATAAAGGTTACATTGAAGGCCTCAGTAAAGCTTTTAAAACATTTTATGTTAAACTGCATCATGCATGCCAATAACTTGCCATCATGTATTTTCTGAAAGTCTATGTCTTGCTATGTCAAGAAAAGTTCAGTTTAAGTACTGTTGCCTACTAAATCTTTTGCGAACAAAATGCAATGATGAAATTTAAAACCCCAACGTGTCTGGCGCCTTCATCTAGTAAACATCCAACCCAAAGCTTTTTTCATATTGTGCAGAAGCATGTGCTTTGGATGTGCATTCCAGTATGCTTGAGTAGGACTGCCTGTTTGGACAAAAAAAATTATAAATTGATACACACCACCTTGGATTGAGATGGTGCTTTGATCATATGTTTAGCTATTGTGTACTGTATACTACATGGCTCCAGATGGTGCATTCGAAACACAAGATTATGTCCATTGGGATATAGAATAGTGTATATCACGTACTCCTGATCATGTGCGTGCTCCTGATCATGAAAAATTATCTGGAGCCCTGTATACTACATAACAACTTTTGCTGCTTTTATTTACTTTTATGTTTTAAATTTGTTTTGACTTACTGATATACATGTATAACTTTACATCATTTCCAGGCTTCTAATCAAAAGATTTCAGCACACAATCTCAAACATTGTACAATTGTTAAATAATAAGCCTACTAAATGAAATCAGATGTCACATATAAGCAATCCAAGATACTGTCAAGGATGGTCTCTAAAAGTCCAAAGCATAGAATACCTGATCAGATTAATCAATACATACGCTTCATCCCTATGAATAAGAATAGACCCATCTATTGATCATCCTGGTTCGGCTTGCTGGGTATAGTCAAAGGGAAGATTTGAAGCTGAAAGCTTTACTGTAGAAATGTCAATAGTAAATTGATGTACGCTTGACAGACAATGCCACACCATCTAATTAGTTTCTCTTATCTGCTAATTACTTTTCTCATTTAATAAGGCCACACAAGAAGAACTGTCATTTGATCAGATAAGCATTGGTTCCATTTTGACTTGGAAATTGAAACATTAAATCCAATTATTGTATTCCTATCTGGTTGTAGATCAACAATTAGCCACATGGCAAAAAGTGCAAGTCACCCTTGACCTACTAGCAATATAAACAGATATCTTAATAATTTTTTATAAGGAAATGATTTAATTAGTAATAATTATGATGGTGTTTACAGTGTTTAGACCATGTATTCTATCTTACGCTTATAAAAGTTCTTAAAAAGTGGTGTAACTGAATATATTTGTATACTTAAATAAAGTAACACAGATGAATCACCTTTGTGTCTAAAAGAATAAATGTTACAGCTGTTTAAAACCTGCTTACTCTCCAAAATTAACCAGGAATCATGTCTTTAAAAAAAAGGGGTTTCACTCCAGTTACTTAATGAGAGAGTATACCTTGCATTTTCATTAGTTTGAAATAAAAAATTCTTTTTGTGTGTATAACTTTAAACATTGATCTTTAAACAGTGGGATTACAAATGAGTGGTATTTACAGGCGTCGTCGTTTCATTACAGAGTCTAACAAAGCAATCGTAACAGTCCAGAACTGTGTGGCAGGTGTATTTTAGTGTAAATATATTATTTTAATCATATTATTATTCTCTCCTTTTAGCTATATTATTTCTAGGCAGTTTAAGGTTTAAGCTTTAGAGCTTCGGGCCTCTCTCACTAATTGCCCAAGCCATGATGCTTCTTGGCTGATTGGTCTCACTAACTCCATGCACAATTTCACTCATTCTGCACTGACTCTTTGCCATGTGAAGACAGCTTGGACAGACACATAGTGTGCCATTAAGGTTAGTATTTATTTAATTAAAGTAATATTGCATTTCATCCTTGCATCCATTTCAACTCTATTATAAGTAATTTTTTGTTTAAAAATACTTCATGCAATATATTGCAATACATATCGCAATACATGCATCGCAATATATCACAATATGAAAATTCTCTGCAATACCCAGAATACATCAGAAACTGACAGCTATACATGAGAAACTGATGGGTATACATGAGAAACTGATGGCTATATGGCTATACATCAGAAACTGACAGCTATACATCAGAAACTGATAGCTATACATCAGAAACTGATGGCTATACATCAGAACAGATAGTTGCTATTACTGACAGCCTGACTACAGCTAATGGTATTACAACCATACCACATGTCATTATACCTCATCAGCAATGCTGTACGTCAGTGGACAATATGCTCACATGGTTACACAGACACTGGTACTGGTAACTATCACAATACTTTTCTGGCTACCAGAAATTGAGATACAGAGAAAGACACATAATCAAGTAATTTAATGTGTCCAAGATATTTTATGGATTAAACTTCTTTATAATTTCCCTCACGACGTTTTGAGACCATTCCAGGTCCCTTCATCAGGTGAACTGACGAAACGTTGTGAGGGAAATTATAAAGAAGTTTAATCCATAAAATATCTTGGACATCAATGTACAACTGTTAAATGCCACTGAAAGACATAATTTAATGTGGTTCTAAACACAGCATCTATGCCGAACTATCTTGCAATGGTTCATCTTCCTTCTGCCATGATTTGCCTTGCAATTCTATGCATCCCAATATCAGTCCAAAGCTACACACATATAGCACTGAGTGATCACTCTGATAAACCATGTCCTGATTTATTTAGCACACAAACTACATGGTATGCCTAAATGGACATACCCAGACATACTGCAGTGTGGGTGTAAATATTCTATCTCATGCACACTGACTCATGTATATGCATGACCCTGGCAATGTGTGACATTCAAACAGAATCATTTAATGGGGGCTGTGATGGTTTGTATGGACATGTAAAACATTCATTTCTAATCTGGAACTGGTGATGAGATTCATTACTTTAGGTAATCACTGGAATGGACGTGGAATGGAATTAGACCAGAGAGTTTTGTTGGTCATCCACAACTCTACATGGTTTAGTTTTGCCGCTTTTAGCAATATTCCAGCAATATCATGGCGGGGGACACTGGAAATGGGCTTCACACATTGTACAAGTGTATGAAATAAGCCAAAAACCCAACCAGACATCAGGGCTGGTAACTTCAAAATGTTACCAGCCCAAAACGGATTTAACCAGACCAGACTCCAAGATATAGTGATTTTACTCAGATGTATGGAACATCTGAAACCAGACCATCAGGCTGGCTAGCTGTACTTTAGACCGTCCATCAGATATCTAACCCATTTCGGGCGGTCGGACAGGCTTTATTTCATACACTGATTGTACCCATGGGGGGAATTGAACCTGGGTCTTTAGTGTGATGAGCAAATGCTTTAACCTCTAGGCAACCCCACCGCCCCTAGAGAGACAGACAGACTGACAGAGACAAAGAGTGAGAGAGGCACAGAGAAAGACAGAGACAGAGAAAGAGAGACACAGTGTGTGTCTGTGTGTGAGAGTGAGAGAGGCACAGAGAAAGACAGAGACAGAAAGAGAGTGTGTGACAGAAAGAGAGGAGAGTGGAGGGAGAGGGAGAGAGAGAGAGAGAGGAGAGGGAAAAAGAGGGGAGGGACTGAGACAAAAAGTGAGAGGTGAGGAGGCACAGAGAAAGACAGACAGAGAAAGAGAGAGTGAGAGGGAGAGAGGCAGACAGATAGACTGAGAGAGACAAAGAGTGAGAGAGGCACAGAGAAAGACAGAGACAGAGAGAGAGAGAGAGGGACAGTGTGAGAAGGGAGAGGGAGGGAGGAGAGAGAAAGGGAGGGAGGGAGAGAGACAAAGAGTGAGAGAGGCACAGAGAAAGACGGAGACAGAAAGAGACAGAGTGTGTGTGTGTGAGAGAGAGAGACAGTGAGAGAGGAGAGAGACGGAGACAGAGAGAGAGACACAGAGAGAGGGAGGGAGAGACAAAGAGAAAGAGAGGCACAGAGAAAGACGGAGACAGAAGAGAGACACAGTGTGTGAGAGAGAGAGAGTGGGAGGGAGGGAAGGAGGTGAGAGAGAGAGAGGGACAGGCAGACAGAAAGAGACAAAGAGTGAGAGAGGCACAGAGAAAGACAGACACAGAGAGACAGAGTAACACAGTGAGAGATAGTGGAATCCAATACAGAGAATATGCACACATCCTTTTGACAGTCCAAAATGTTGAGACAAGTGATTCGGTTCTTATAATTAACTTGATGATGCTAATTGTTCCATTAATCTATAAAATAGAAGGAAATAAAATAAAATGAAACCAATATATGTCCTTCAGCCAAGCATCTATAAAGGCCATATGGCCTTACCGACAACAAGAGTGTCACAATCTACTCTTATGGATATGTAGAGTGACTGAGAATGAGCTACCCCTCGTGTAAGTGTGATGTACATCAGCTACCTTCTGGTGGCGTTTGTGTGAGACATATTTCCAAGCTGACAATGAGATAAGTATGAGAAGAATCAGCTACCTGCTGGTAGCGTTCATGTTGGTGGCTGCAACGGTCCTGTTGGTCGTACCATCCTCCATTCTCTGTTCGATCTCAGCATAGCTGTTGACTGGCACCACCCTCAGACCATCAGCTGACAACAGGAAGTGTACAGTATCATTTAACTGTCTATCTCTACGTACAGTAGCCGCCATATAGCTGGAATATTGCTGAGTGTGGTGTAAAACTTAACTCACTCACCATGTACAGTAAACTGCATCAGCTGACAAACAAAAATGTAAACTTACAATAAAAACTTTTTATAGACTGTTTTTTGCCCCATATACACTTCATAAATATTACTTTGACTGGAGATTGTTTTTTTGTTTTTTTTCCCTCCTGCCATTAGGTTTTCTGAGGGCAAAATCTTTAAAACATGAAATAACTTGGTCTGGCCGACCTTTAGTTTACTGTATATCAAAGTACATTTGCTTATGAGACAACTTGTCTAACTTTAAGTTTGGAAGCTTGCTACATTTCTAGGGTAAGCATATATACCCCATATACATGTTGACTGGGATCCTCCTGTTTTGGATTGTGGAGTAATCGAAGCTCATCATTATAACCATATCTGTATTGTTGAGGTTAGGGGACCCTATATTGTGTGATGCCAATAATAGATACCATGAGAACCCATGAAGATCCGGGTTAGAATTGATCTTCAGTAACCATGCTTGTCGTAAGAGGTGACTAACGGGATCGGGTGGTCAGGCTTGCTGACTTGGTTGACATATGTCATCGTATCCCAGTTGCGTACATCGACGCTCATGATGTTGATCACTGGATTGCCTGGTCCAGTCTTGATTATTTAAGCCATTTAGCTGGGATATTGCTGAGTGTGGCATAAAACTAAACTCACTCACTCACTCCAATATCACGCTCATATGACGACGTGCATGCATGTGTATGTGTGGCTGCTTGTACTAGCCCACACTTAAGCTGGTTTCATAGTGCTAGCTCACAGTTTAGCAGTTTAGCATGAATATCCCATGCAGTCACATTATACTCTGAGCCGACCAGTCCTTGTTGTATCCATTAAAACGAGCACCAGGCAGGGACCAACAAGTACCATATTTTAACGTCTCTTTGTATGACGCGGTTGGGGATCGAATCCGCGACCTTCCGCTCTATGAGCAGAGGCGTTCATTTATTTTCAGAAAAAACGATTGTCATAGTTTTACTTTAAAAAACTCCCAGAATGTGTAAAAGAAAATCATGATATAAGATCAACCTATATCAAAACATGGACATTACACTAGATTATTGTTTAAGGTGGACCATGTCATGTGGTGTGGAACAATCTTGACTTTCAACATCATACTGACCATAAAATCCCATCTTGGGATGCTGTCGGACACGCAATCCACTTTTCTTGGATCTGGAATCTAGCAAGTCTCGCACTTGCTCATTGTAGATCTCCAACATGCTGAAGTTCACCTGGAGCGAGATCATCCATACATGATCAGACATATCATCACATCAAAGTTACACACTCTTCTGACCATAGGGCGTCTTATGACGGGAATACAGGTATCGTTAAGGTTTACATTACAATACTGTAGTGTTGCATTGGTGCGCAACATATGCAAATACTTAAAAATGTGTTCAAGTCAGTGCCTCAATGAACAGACATGTTGGCATGGTTGTGGGGTATGGTTACAGAGATAAAAATACAAAATTTTGTAAATCATTTTTTGACATTGTAATAAAATACAAAATTTTGTAAATCACGTGATAAAAGGATTTGCCATACTTCTGCATACTCTCTTTAATTATTATCTTCCCCTTAAACTCTTCAAGTATTTACTTGGACATGTATATGTTTTACACAAATATTTGTGTGAACATTCTGTACACATACATTTCTGTACACATTTATGATCGAGTGTACAGTCTGTACACATATATTGGTGTGAACATTATGTACACTTTAAATTTGTGTACATTCTTTACACATTTACCTCTGTGTTCATGCTTTACCCATTTACTTTTTTACACACTTTTTAATCATTCACTTTTGTGTACACTCTGTTAGCATTCATTTACTTCTGTATACAACCTTTACACATTTACTCCTGCATACAGCTTTACGTATTTCTATCATTTTAATGTTTTCTTACTATTTCTGAATACAAATCTTTCATATTAAATTTTACTGACCTCCCTCAAAGGCTATTGATCTGTAGTGTCCCTATGCAGCTAAATCAGATCTTGTCTCACTCACTTACCTTACCATTTCCTTCTATAAATATTCTTTAAACACTTTCTTCTGCAAATACGTTTTAAGTATTTACTTGATCTGACATTGTTTAACTGTTTACCACAGCAATAATCTTTAAACAATCCCTCATCACATGTTATTTGTTTCTGTTATGTCGTACCTCATATTCCGTTTTCTCCCCTGCCGCCTTCTTCTCATCAATGCCCTGGAACATCTTCTCACAGAACAGTGGCACCACACCTGAAGCCAAGAGATGGAAGGACTTATCTTTGGTATGATTGCAGGAATTTATTTACACCTAGTTTGATGCAAATATTCAGTCCTAGGTTTGCAGGAAATGTCATAAAAAAATTCCAAAATGCAATTGTATATAAATATATATGGTATATTTTACTCTTGGCATTGTGACATACTGAGAGAAACAAATAAAGGATCACAGGAAAATTCAAGCTATCCTTTATTTTCCAGTTTTCATCACCAGCTTTGAATAGCTCTGTGGGAGGAAATCTGAGAATAAATAAAGGAACACTGTCATCAAGTGGTGTTCCCTTATTTGTTTCCCTCATATATATAACAGAGATGTCTGAGAATAACATGGATTGATTATCCACAGAAACAGGCGCCACTGGAAGTGAATGCCAAGGTAATGTTGATCACATGTTAATGAAAAGGGTAAGCAAGTATAAACCAAGAGTTGATAGTTTATGGCCTCATATTAATGAAGTAATGAAATGTGAGATGTGTTATAATTTTATGTTTCCATGTCTAACAGAGTCTGATTGGTCAGGCAGGGAATGCTTTTCTCTCAGTGGCCACCTGGTATCATCCCTATTAAATACTTATTACACAAATTTAAGACATAGTTGGACATGTCTCGTGGGCTTTGCTTCTGGCAGAAATTTGTTGTGATTATGGAAAGGATTTTGGCAGTTATAATTACCTTTGTTGATGCCATAGCCAACGATGGACCAACTCTTTCCTGAGCCTGTCTGTCCATACGCAAACAATGTAGAGTTATAACCTTCCCATGCATTCTTCAACACACCAAGACCCAAGTCTTCAAACACACGTTTCTGAAAAATAAAAGACAACATGAACTTGAAGTTCATATTCCCTTTCAAATGGTAACTTAGGCCTCTGCCAAAGTCAATTTGAAATTCATCAATATTTATTTTAATGTCTTATAAATTTAGATTATGAAATGTACTATGTGCTGTTCAAATAGAATGCTTACCTTAAGAAATCTGACTTTCTAAAAAATACATTTTGAAATTACATATACTTCTTATTCATAGTCATCATTAATATATTCATGTTTAGTTAATTCTTTCAAACTTCCAATTCTACTCTATATATAACCAAAATATACACAATTCTGCTAGAACTTCTGGCCTTTGGTATCTGACCATCTTGAATTAAAAATTTAATTGCTGAAACAGACATTTTTCACTGTGAGAGAGATTTGAGCTTCCAAGAAAAGCAAACATCCCATCTTCCGCCTGACGTACAGTACATGTGTATAGACAACAGATCAGCTCACCTCCAACAATAGGTCTCCTATATCTCACCCGCTCTGCAAACTTCCGACATGTCCTATCAATTATTAACAAAACCCTGATGCTCTTTCTCTCTAGAACACCATATCTCCATCAACAAATGCAGGCACACCTAGTCTGCTGTCTCACTGCTTCCTCTTTTTCTCCAGTTAACAGCCTTACAAAAACATATTCCCAGTGCCATACTAAAACCTCCATTTCCCATAGAAGATGGTGACATTGCCAACATTTGACCTACCTGGTCAGCAAATATCTTGCCATGAGGATGGCTGGCATCCGGGCCATAATAGCCATTAGCGTCTTCCTTGGAACCGTCATGTGACCAGTAGCTGTAGTCGAAGTTGAATTTCTTTTCTTCGTTGTTGCTAGGATCTGTGATGATTGTAGTGGGACCGTTCATCCCAACAATACACGTGGCATTGCGCTCACGCTCACGTTTATTGTAAACAGTGTTAAGGAAACTATTTTGTAAATGTGTGAAATACGTTGGTGAACTTAGGTTGTTTAAAACTTTACAACTGATATCAAACAATAAGAATGTGATAAATAAAATAATGATAATAACAACATCAATGATAATAATAACTATAGTAGTAGTAGTAGTAGTAGTAGTAGTAGTAGTAGTAGTAGTAGTAGTAGTAGTAGTAGTAGTACTGACTGACTGAGTTTAGTTTTACACCGCTTTTAGCAATATTCCAGCAACATCACGGCTGGGGACACCAGAAATGGGCTTCACACATTGTACCCATGTCAGGATTCGAACCCGGGTCTTCAGTGTCAAGAGCGGACGCTTTAACCACTAGGCTACCCCACCGCCCCAGTAGTAGTAGTAGTAGTACATTCTACTTAAAATTTATTTGCAGCAGCAGAAGTGGTAATTTTTACAGAAACAAGCAAGTAGATATAAATGAAAAAGGTACGGAACCTGTGGCAAATGAACAATTGTTTCACTGGAAGCTACTGCACTACAGTAAGGTGTGAACCGAAAAACAAATGTTTTGGTACAGGTGCAGGTACTTTGTGACAGACTAAGGCCAGATGATATGAACATTACTATTCCTCAGCCCACAGTGGAATAAACAGTCCTATATCACACCAGTTGCATGTCTGTACTTCACTCACTGCTTCAAAACAGGCATTTTTTATGGAAAGAGGAGATGAAAAAATGATCCATTTTTCTAAATCCAAGGCCCCCTTTTAATGTCTAATGGTCAAGACCTTATTTTCCATGAGTACCATATCACCAGCCTGACACATTTCAAAGATTTTTCTGTTATCAATCTCATTGAAAATCTCAATTTGCTTCCAGGAATGAGGAAATGACCCAGCCCGATAAGAAAATGTACACATGAAAATTCCCATGATGGCTGGAATTCTTATTCAATATTTCAGTGAGACATTTTCACTTCCACACATACATTAGAAATATTAAGTAAATGAGAAGGTCAACATGAATATCTATAGCTACATACTATATACTTCTGCTGTCATGAATAATTTGACTGTCAGCTGAATCCTTTGTCTTTAAACAAAGTATGCTGGTCACATGAAGGAATCTGACTTTCAGTAGCACTAATGTATTATTTTAACTTTAGAGTTAACATGGCCATGTTGTATATTCCACAACACAACTGGTAAAATATGCTTGTGGCTTATTCTTTTGTGAAAAGGCCAGACCAATTTTATTTCTTGTTTTACGGATCCATCGGTCGTATTTTTTTCAAGAATAAGAAAAAAGATAAAAATAAATTTTCCCTGCTAAAAGATACAATCCCAATGTAAGGATATTTCGGAGCGAGACTTCGTCTATGCAAGGCAGATTGTTGGACTCTAAAACACTGGTATCTGTTCTCAGAGACTTTAAACTGAATTTTCTAACAATATTTGTGTTAGAAATCAGTGCTTCGAGCACCTCAGCAAGTGTGAACTTGAAAAACAATGCCTTTGAGAAAATCATATGGGGTTTTGCTTTCACTGGCTTTCACTTCTTTTTAGGACAAAAATCCATAAAACAAGAAATATAATTGGTCTGGCCTAACTGAGATTTCACAGTGAAATAACCTTGAAAAATATATATCAGCTCTAAAGAAACGTAGCTAATTTTATTTTATATAGGCATGACCTTTTAGTAGTTGTTAAAGGAGGCACTCAACAATATTCCAGTTTCATGACAGCCAACTCTAAATAATGAAGTCTGGATCAACATCATGAGCTTCTATCTATACTGTTTGGACATGATAACATACAATAACATGTGATAACAGCAAGGCTGATCATCTTTCATCCTAGGCATCTATGAGTAGCTGCAGATCATTTCTAACCTTTTATATCCATGAAGATCCGGGTTAGAATTGGTCTTCTGTAACCCATGCTTTTTTGTAAGAGGCAATTAATGGGATCGGGTAGTCAGGCTCGCTGAATTGGTTTACACATGTCATCGTATCCCAATTGCGTAGAATAAAGCTCATGCTGTTGATCACTCAATTGTCTGGTCCAGTATATTTACACACCGCTGCCATATTGCTGGAAAATTGCTGAGGTCAGTGTTAAACAACCAACCAACCAAGCAATATAACCTTCTAATTCTAAGTTTTGTCAAGCTGGAAACCTTTTTAATAAAAAGGATTCACTTAAAAAAATTGTTTGTTCTAACAATCAGATCACAGTGTGTGTTCAAGTTCAGAAATTTTAATCAGTTTCACTGTTCTCTTTTTCTGAATAAAGAAAACAATGAAATTCCTCAGGAGTATCTTAAAAAACAGTTCTAGTCTAACTGGGGCGGTGGGGTAGCCTAATGGTTAAAGCGTTGGCTCGCAACGCCGAAGACCCGGGTTCGAATCCCCACATGGGTACAATGTGTGAAGCCCATTTCTGGTGTCCCCCGCCGTGATGTTGCTGGAATATTGCTAAAAGCGGCGTAAAACCAAACTCAGTCAGTCAGTCTAGTCTAACTATCAAACTGCCGTCATGTATTTTTAATTACATAAATGATACCCTTGGGGACAATTTTGATATCTGGCACAATCTGATACAATATAAAAGCAATTCTTTGAAGAGTTCATATAATTTTTTCACAAAAAAAGGCCATATTTTATAAAAATTTATACTACCCATCATAATGACACACATTTTTCTGTAATTGCCAATTCTGAATCCTTCTAAGAAGCATTTATCTCTGAAAATGTATGTAGGTTAACATGTGTATGTGTGTCTATGTCCTTGTGTATATACTTATCATATAGGTGTAGGTTTTAGGGTAGGAGACATCTGACTCATTGACTAAGTTTGGAGTAACTTCCCTTTGATAGCCACAAGTCACTTTTGCAATGACAGACTGCATCAAAGGCAACTGCAGAGAGTGAGTTGGCAGTAGTAATATTGTCTAATATTATTACACCACTGTCTAAGATAAAAGTGTCACTATCTGACATATCACTTCCTAACTTTATATACAATAATGTGAACATTCTATTGGAAAACTTGCATTCAGAATATGTTTCTTAGATGAAAAGATGTTTTCGACAGAATTTAAGCACAATGTTATATGATAAAGAGGTTATCACACATATGTGTTCAATGATAGTAAATAATCTGAATTAGGAATATACACTGTATGTATCTTGACATGGCTCCCAAAATACAAAGTTTGTTCTTTATAAAGGATATCTACATTCCGAAACCACTCACATGATAACATCCATGTGTGTACAAGCATGAAGTGTTCATATATGCATATTATGTGTTCTCTTCCAAACATGATTAAAAATGTCTGTTTTTCATGTAAATCTACTTTGTAAATATTTCAACATCAGAATAAATGCAGGAAGTGGGTCATCTTAGCTGGATAACTTTTGACCAATCCCACTAATTATATATATCAATCAAAAAATGTTTATAACAGAACAAACCATTTATATATGACCCCTGGAAGGATGTTTAGAATACTTTATTTATCCCACCAATTTGAGGATTTGGGTGAGTTAATCTACCAATCTGTCATGTATAAGTGAATACTATGCATTTCTGGTGTTACAAAGGGACCACCCTTTCAAATGAACATTTAAATCAGAGAATATGTTTATCTATCCTTAGTTCAGGTTATATAACATTTTCCTTTTCCCCAATACAACACTAAAACCTCAATCAGGTCCCACTAACAGTTTTTTTAGTTAAAACCTTATTCAAAATGCAGTTTTAAATATTCCCTGGAATATTCTTTTTAAAAAAAAAAAAAAACTCCCAAGAATATTCATGCTAGTCCCTGCCTGGGGCTGACCTGCTTCATCATTCATGCCCTAGATAAAACATGCACTGTTTGTTTGAAATTAAATCTTTCTGTAGTACCATTACAAATTGTAAGTTGGTTGTTCAGTCTCAAAAAATCAATATTTCTTTTTCATTGGAAATACATTCCGTTCTCTGATATACAAATACACTTGCTATATAATTCAAAAGGCGTAACACTGATATATACACATTAATGCATATGACATCAGCTGCTGATAGTAACATTCTAACTGAACATTTCTAAAAGTGCTAGGCATTGTATGAATTCTATAGTCCTGCTTAACTATGCGATCAGTTCACATTTCCAACAAGCATATAGTTCTTTCAAATAATTATAGCGTCAGGTAACACAAATTATGTTTTTTTACGCATATTTCGCTAGTTCCTAAAAACACAAGCAGAATCATACAAATAAACCATTATGGTGGGAATTTTTTATCCTACCTCGTAAACATGTACATAGGCATTGAAGTGACAGTTCGGCTTAGGCGATATTGTACGCTATACGCTGATAAGGATATAAATGGCCTCACACGAACGGCGACTTTCACGTTTTCTTCCGACATGGTGGATCTAGTGCTTGCTCGCTGTAAATTAACCTTTCTAAACTGTCTTGTACATATCCGAGACTCCCGAACCCCGATGATATCCCTCCGATGTCCAAGCCGTCATATAAGTCCTTTCCATATCCAAGAGGTGTTTATATGCGTTGCTATGGGCAGAATCAATGGAGTGTGAGAGCCCTTTCAGCGACGGATCCGCCGACCCGCTACACGCGCTCGATGGAGCATTTGTGTCGAAACGAAATATGATCTTTACTGTTGAGAAAATATCTAAATCGATGTAGGGTCATTAAGTAAAACAATAATTTTGTTCAATTTAAACTTAGGTTGTAATGAATTGTGTTGTTCGAACTAAACCGACTATTGTTTAATTATGTATTGGGCAATGTTATTCTCGGTTGTGGAAACGCTGGTTGTATTGTAAACAGAAGGCCATTACTACAGTGAAATAAACTCTAAGCATATAATAGCGGAGATAGCGTTATATTTAAATTGATCGCTGACGCACGATTGCGAAGGGCTAATGTTGATTTGTGATGATTTTATGCAAGGTAATCACCACTTCATGATTGACAGTATTACAGCACGAACCGTTAACTGTTGTATTTTTAATATCTAAATTACAGGAAATTGTTACATCGGAAACAGTTTTTCTGGGTATCATAACACAATTGTACTTCAAACATAAATTGTTGACGCAATTAAGATAATATACCGCATGCCTGTATTTCACAAAGGGATGTGTCTGCCAAATCGTTTTGATTGAACGTAGTGTGTGTTTTCGTCCATGCATATCTGTTGTTACAGCAAATATTCGGTGTCTAACCAATCATCTATGTACAGGGATACGGATTATCTGTGTGAATGGTGTAAGCTCTGAGACTTTGGCGAGGTAATCCGTATTTATCGATTAGCTTAATCTGAATATTACTCATTGACATTTTAGAGAAAAAAAATGAAATGTCAAACATAGTGTTCAGACGTCATATGATCAATGTTTGACATCAGGAAAATGGATGACGTCATGCATATTGTATGCTTTCCAAACAATGGAGCACTGTTACGTATAATGGTTCGTTTGACCAATAAGCATCGAGGATGGCATGAAGTGCACGTGCACATATCGGAGAGCTTTTACACACGGGCATTCAAACATTCCGGTAACATAAAATACGGGAGCAGATTAAAAATAGTCGAAAAATAAATGACAAGTTTGGTTTGGCTGCTTAACGCCGCACTCCGCAATATTCCAGCTGTATGGTGGCGGTTTGTAAATAATAGAGTCTGGACCAGACAGTCCTGTGATCAACAGCATGAGCATCGATCTACGTCTCAGCGAATTTTATCTTAATTTATGTAAATAAATAAGTAAATAAGCAAGCTGCATGTTGCGGTAAATCAGTGAAGTATGTGCAGGGATAACTACGTACAGGTGTGGAATTACCAAGTGTAAAAGGCTCTTCCACTGGTATTATCCTAAATCTGGTCTAATTACATGTATATAAGTTCTGTCCATTTGGTGTATTAGAATCCCCTGAACGGTGTGTTATCGACGCACCTGGTTTTCATCCGATCCGTTTTGTGAAAAAAGGGTTTCCGTGCTCATAACATCGCACACTGTCTTGTCGACCCTGCCACAAGTATCAACTAGACTTGATATTTGTGGAGAGTCTGGAATTAAACATCAGAAATAAGAAACCAGTTCAAAAGCGTTCTGCAGAGTCCCCATTTGCGTGAGATTTAAAATGCGAGAAGACAAATGAGGCGAGTCGCCTCATGCCTACTTGAACGACAGTATAATATCGTTAGCATTGTCGTATTATGGATATGGCCACGTGTAGCTAATAATGACTTCCTTGACGTATAAATTATAGAATTATGTAAATTTAAAGAATACTCTCCAATGAAAAATAATAAAACTGCACGACACATATTATCATGACATTGCCTGGTTTGAAACGCGTATACGGGTATTAAGAGCATATCGTATTGTACTGCTTTTAGTGAGCGAGTTTAGTTTAACGCCTCATTCCAGCTATATGGCGGCGGTCTGTAATCAAGTCTGGACCAGACAATCCAGTGATCAAAAAAAGGCATGGGCATCGATCTGCGCAATTGGGAACCGATGACGTGTCAACCAAGTCAGCGAGCCTGACAACCCGATCCCGTTAGTCGCCTCTTACAAGCATGGGTTACTGAAGATCAATATTCTAACCCGGACCTTCACAGGTAGTACTGCTTTTAGTAAATTATACGCGTCATCAGCCTTCATAGATGTATAGGAAGCAATGTATATGTGTATGCCCACACCAGCTCTATCCATTATCTGATCGGCATTCTGCAGGTATATTAACTGGTCTGTTCGATGTGGATAACTGAAGAATCTACATCGGAACGTCGCATATGCATTAAGCACGAGGTGTTATCCGTTAAGTTGTATTCGTCGGTTTTAGTCCTGATCGATGGTGCAAGAATTGATTCTGAACATCGTGTACAATGACGCATTTGTAACTTGTGACGGCATAAGATTATACAGCAAGACAATTTGTAATGTCTGGGATTGTACTATTTTACGACTGCTTCAGTAGATACAAGCAATCGGTTTTTTTCTGCATGTTGCGTGGAAATCCTGTAATCACAGCAATAACGATAACCTTCTGCAAATCACAGAAGCGCAGGTATAATGCCAACAAATCTGGAAACATCTTGGGGCTAATACTGATATTTATTTCAGGGCAACCAGAGTTAACTAAAAAATCTTTGAAGGGCATTTAGAGGAATGCATAAGAAAAGAAAGATTTATGGAGGTCAACTTCTTTATTGTGAATAACATGGAGTGTATCCTTGCTCCTTCATCAGGCGATCGCTGCCATTCACCTGATGAAGGAGCAAGCATAATCTAACCTCACGTTATTCACAATAAAGTAGTTGACATCCACAAATCTTGCTTTTCCCAGAGTTGGCTAGCTGCAGAGCTTACAATGCAGAAGCTAACATTGGCCTCACCCAATAGTGTAGATTTTGTTTAACACTACACTTAACAATATTCCAGCGGTCTTTGTAAATAATCGGTCTGAACCAGGCAATCCATTGATCAACCCAATAAGCATTGATCACGCGTTCGGGATATAATGACGTGATCCTGTTAGTGGCCTCCTACAAGCATGGGTTGAAGACCAATTCTAACCCCGATCTCCACAGGTAGTGTATGAACATTGTATCGGGTGATAACCCTCTAAACTGTTGGCATCACATATAGAACACTGCTGTCAAGACAGATGTCACAAGCAGCCACAGTGTACAAGAGTGGAAACATAGATACATAAATCAACATTTTCGTTTTATGTCAAAGATCACCAACACATTTGTTCCAGTTTTTTTTTAATTTGTATATCTGCACTGAATGTTGTACAAAAAGACATATGTACACAAAAGAATTCACACCATGGTTGCAAAAAAATATGAAGCAGAAGAGATAGCACTGATGATGCAGTAGTCACTTGACCTGTCCATGACATTACACAATATGCCAAATGTTTCAGACCAACTGGCTTTCAGAGGCATTTCAACATCTGGCAGGCAGTATTTCAGAGTGGTCTGGCCGTTAATGCCAGAGACTGTCTGCTCTGGTAGTGGAGGGCAATGTCAAGTGAAATAAATAGATTGGTGTTCTACACAGTCCTGATAGGATCACATTTCATTTGGAGCTCGGATGTCATCTATCTTGAGGATCATCCTAACCAGTTGTGTGGCTAATAGCAGCTGCTGTTTCTTGGCAGTTAGGGTCTCGATCACATTCTGTTCCTTCATATCTGAAATTAGAAAAACATTGATATATAAAATCACCATCTGATGAACACTAACCTTGTTTAATTGACTACAGCTTTCATATGAAAGATTGAAATTTTGCTTCTAACACTCCAAAGCTTAATCACAATATCTCTAACACAGAGCTACCATATTATAGCTTCAAGATATAATTTGAGATATTGATGAAGTGTTGAAGAAAAAAATGAGTCTGGTTATCCCTGAGATACATGATTTTATGCCTGTCCAAGTGACATTCTCGCCTCAGTCTTCAATTCACTGCTTGGACATCAATAAAGAAATGCCATCAAACCTACCAAATGCAACAAAATCAAAATCAGTTTCTCCATCATATTAGCTTCTCGCATTTGCAATGGTCTGAGTTCACTATGTTTCTCTCAGAAATAAATGCCGCTAGGATAGGTTCACTATCAAACGGTAATTTTTTCATCACAGAAACATCAAAGAAATGCAGCTTAGGATAGTTTCAATATGTATCAATCGGTAATTCCAATTTTGGGAAATCACAGAGAAACATGAAACAGAAAGTAGCAGTTGGGCTGTTACAAACCAGCTGGGCTATACAAGCTTACAATATCACATTCAAATTTTTAAAAAGAAATTGTACCCATGACATAGGGAATCAAACCTGGGTCTTGTAGATGGAAGAGTGAACACTTTGACCACTAAGGCTACTGCCCCTAGTTGTATCATAAAGTGTCTTAGTTGTACAACATACACTTCAGCTGTATTCAATACCATTTCTGTGCCTGGATTCTAACTCCTAACACACTTGGTTTTCGATACAAAATAAAACATTATTTCATATTGTTACGATTTTGGTGTTATGAAGCTGTTCACTTATCATACATTAACATGGGACATTAATTTTTTAAAAAGAAACAATATGGAACATTTAATCTTTGTTTCTCTCAGAAATATATGCCGCTAGGATAGTTTCATGCATATCAAACGGTAATTCCAATTTTCATCATAGAGAAACTTCATATACTTTTGGAAAAAGGAAATTTGAAAACTGTCATGTGGTCGTGTAAATTGTTAATCGTCTATGAGTGAGCGAGCGAGTTTAGTTTTAGCAATATTCCAGCAATATCACGGCGGGGGACAGTTAATCGTCTATGAACTTATTACACCAAACTGAAGACATTCACCAACGAAGTATAGCCATGACCATTTTGTATCTGCCACCATCATGGTGCATAAATTTCACACTTATGTGGATTTCATAACCTGTGCATGTCAGCCATTAAAATATATACTTGTCCATGACTAAAAGTGCTGACAAGCAAACAATCAAAAGATGGCTGTGCTCATTGAGGGGCACTGAGAATAACAATTCTGAACTATTTCTAAATGATTCAATGTTGCCTAACTGGAACTGAATACAACCTGCCGAAGATAAAAACATATTAAACATGTATCTATTGCTATAAGTGGATACAGCTGCAAACGCCGAGGACCAGTGAAAAATAAGGTCAACACAAGTTTTCTAGATCTGTTTAGAAAAACAAACTTCAAAGGCTGGCCTCAGCTCCTCAGTATCTGAGGCAGATAATTATAAACTGATTTTCCAAACTGATTTTGCCACAAATCAGAACGGAAGAAACGGACAAAAATGTTAAACATAGCATATATGTAAATTTTCAAACACAGAGGACCAGTGAAATATGGTTTACACTTCTCTTAAAAGCAACACATTTCTAAGGTTTGCCTCAAGTTTCTCTCAGAAAATATATGCCGCTAGGGTAGTTTCATACGGTATCAAACGGTAATTCCAATTTTCATCATAGAGTAACTTACTTGAGGTACTGTTGATATTTTCAGTGTTAACCTGTACATTACTTTTTACCTTCTTAACTTATCAACTTGTCAAGTTGCAGAGGCAAAACATAGCCCTTATTCTTGTAAATCAATTGGGATTGGGTGGTTATGAAGATCTGGCTGAATGTGAGAATTCTTTAGAGCAGGTCTGAAGTTTGGGTGCATATTGGAGTAGGACACTATAGGGAAATCATACCATTTGGTTTAACAGCCTTTCTAGTGTACCTGTTCAACCTGTTATGATCAACTCTGTGGAGACATATTTACCAACATACCATTTGTTCCTTTCAAGAGACAGTCAATGCCAAGCCTTGGGTTCTTCTCCTTGACTTGTCTAGATTTCACGTCAGCTAGTGTGTGGATTGGGGCCTGACCACTGTTTTCTGCCAGTGCCAAAGGAATGCTTTCCAAAGCTTCAGAGAATGCACGGACTGCATACTGTTCTAGAGTGGAAATCTGTAAAAACAGGCAATTACTTTGAAATTAATTATCTGAACAAGAAATGCAGTGCAAACAGAATGATTTATAATAATCAGCTTTATCATAATTTACACTCAAAATACTTTGAAATTTCAAACAGCACAAAATGATTTTATTTTATCCATCACTGACTTATAATAAAAATCAGTGTCATGATGAACCTCCTTGCAACAAATGCGAATTAATGATGTCAGACTTGTAGACACTCTTAAGCACTTGCTAATCAGTATCTTTGACAATGACCCAATCTTTATGGAAAGAATGTTCGTTTATACGGTAAATCACTATAAAGTATCAGCTTAATAATCTTGGCCCACAGTGCATAATATCAGCATGAATTCAAGACCTGGCTGTACCTTATCTGCAGCTTTAGACACAGCTAGAGAGCAGGCAATCTCAGGTGCACCACCTCCATACACCACGCGGTTGTCTCGGACAATGTTGCGGATTACACATAAAGCATCGTGAAGACTTCGCTTAGCTTCCTCCACAATCTACACAAACAGGAGAAAAAACAATGCATTGCATTACTTTCTGAAGTTTTAGTCAAGAAGAAACCATTCTCAAACAATCGACAGACGACTTTGAAATCAAGGTATGTTTCATCCGTATCAGTGTGTGAGACTCATTGAGTAAGTCTGACAATGGTTCGGGATGATTTCCTATGGCATGCTGTCTGGTCCACTCAGTTAATGGTGAAACTGGCAGAAATTTGACATGCCAACATATACTACAGACTACAAATGCAAAAGGTATGTTTACAAACAGGAATGCACCTAGACCTGATTAGAGGCTGATATTCAGTACTTGTGTTTTCAGCTATATCATATTTCAGCTATCTTATCACAGCTTGTCACAAGAAGACGCTGCATAGTTAGCTACATCAGAGACAGTCTATTTATAGGTTTGACAGCTAAACACTTTTGAGAATCATTCCTCTTTTAATCAAGATTCTCGTTCAGATACCTTTTTATTATTTTCTGAATAAATTTACTTAGAGATTGACTACTGTATTTTACACACAAAGTACTTATTTTGGTTTAACACTATAAATGCCACTAAAACTGGCAAAGTAAGAAAATAATCAAATATAATTTTAAAAAAAGAAAGAAGATCTGTCCCAATTAGCCTGGCAAGGAAATAGTGGATTCCTAGAGAAATCTAACACTCACAATTCCAACAACTGATTACACTCACCATCTTGTTGCCTCCCCTGATGAAGATGGTGACCGCTCTGGAGTTCTTGCACTCCTCGATGACCAACATTCTCTCTTTGGTTGTTCCAAAGTTCAACTCCCTCACAATGCCGGCACTTCCCAGCTTCTCGGGGGTCAGTTCCTCAAACCGTGGAACAATTCTACCTCCAGTTGCAATGGCTATCAACTGTAAAACATGAATAAATGTATGAGAAATAATATAGAAGTAAAGGAATACTTAAGTATAAAATCCCAGCGAAGATCCTTGCTCGAGTTGGTCTTCATCAACCCATGTGTCTCTCTTAATAGGCATCTAACCCATTAGGTGGTCAGGCTAGCTGACTTTGACATGTCATTTGCCAAGATATCACTGGATTATCTGGTCCAGACTTGATTACTGACTGAGTTTGGTTTTACGCCCCTTTTAGCAATATTCCAGCAACATCACGGCCGGGACACCAGAAATGGGCTTCACACATTGTACCCATGTGTGGATTCGAAACCGGGTCTTTGGTGTGACTAGCCACTTTAACCACTAGGCTACCCCACCCGCCCTGACTTGATTACTAACATAACATGGTTGGAATATTGCTGACTGGAGCATTAAACACTAAATTATTTAAATGTATCAGCACATGATGTGTGCAAGTTTTCAGTGCCTTCACTATTCACAGGGCAACCTTTTCAGTTTGTCAACAGGGCATGTCAAACAAAGCATTTATTTAGCACATTTCCAAGATGTCTTTCTTCAGTTTCTCTCCGATATGAATGCCGCTAGGGTAGTTTCATAAGTATCAAACGGTAATTCCAATTTTCATCATGGAGAAACATTGATTGATGCTTGTTCAACTTCATGGGAAAATCCTTATGACATGATTGTCATACCCTCAAGACATTCCCAGCAGATCCACTCAAAGCAAGCAACCCCATGTAATAATTATCCTGTGGCCATTTGTAGAATTGAACAAACTAATGTTCAGACAGTTTGCTCATATAAACCAATCAATATTTGACAGGGATAACCAACTGTGAATCGATTCAAACATACACATGGCAGATGGGAACTGTTTTGGTGAATCATGGAGGATTGAAAAAATATTGAAAGTGAAGCATTATATACTTCTATCCCTTATTTAGTATCTTTGATTAATCTCAGGGGAATATGCTGCCACAACCAGATGTGAATCTATAAATACATACATACATAAACATTTTCAGTTTGAGGACAGGGCACCTCGATCCATGTCAAACAAATCAGTATTTATTTCAGATCAAGATAGCTTTCTTCCGTTTCTCTCAGAAATATATGCCGCTAGGATAGTTTCATATGTATCAAACGGTAATTCCAATTTTCATCACAGAGAAATGTTTATGTTCATCAACTATATGGCCAAATCCTTTTGCTTTCGATGTTTGATGATTGTCACACCCTCAGAAAACTTTTGCAGCATATCCACTCTAAGCAAGCAACCCCATGTAATACGATTCCCATGGCCATTTGTAGAATTGAACAATGTAATGTTAGGACAGTTTGCTCATAAACAGTACTCAACATCTGACACAGATAAACACACCTTTTCTCTCAGAAATAAATGCCGCTAGGATGGTTTCATATGTATCAAACGGTAATTCCAATTTTCATCACAGAGAAATGTTTATGTTCATCAAATAAATGGGCAAATATTTTTGTCTTCGATGTTTGATGATTGTCATACCCTCAGAAAACATTTGCAGCAGATCCACTCAAAGCAAGCAACCCCTATATGGCCAAATCCTTTTGCTTTCGATGTTTGATGATAGTCACACCCTCAGAAAACTTTGCAGCAGATCCACTCTAAGCAAGCAACCCCATGTAATACGATTCCCATGGCCATTTGTAGAATTGAACAATGTAATGTTAGGACAGTTTGCTCATAAACAGTACTCAACATCTTACACAGATAAACACCTTTTCTAGATCTATCTAGTATTTGAGGGAGATAATTTTGAGCTGATTTTCCATACACTAATTTTGCTACAAATCAGAACTGAAGAAACGGACAGAAAATGTTAGCTTACATTTTGTTAATTTTCAAACACAGAGGACCAGTGAAATATGGTTTACACTTCTCTTCAAAGCAACACATTTCTAAGGTTTGCCTCAAGTTTCTCTCAGAAAATATATGCCGCTAGGGTAGTTTCATACGGTATCAAACGGTAATTCCAATTTTCATCATGGAGTAACTTACTTGAGGTACTGTTGATATTTTCAGTGTTAAACTGTTCATTTCTTTAAACCTTAACACACCATTAACCTGTCAAGTTACAGAGGCAAACACAGCCCTTATTCTTGTAATATCAATCAATTGGGGTTGGGTGGTTATGCAAGATCTGGCTGAATGAATTCTTTGAAACAGTAGTAAAGATGAGGTGCATATTGGAGGACACAATAGGTAAATCAAACCATTTGGTTTAAAAGTGTTTCTACTGTACCTGTTCAACCTGTTATGATCAACTCTGTAGAGAAGTATTCACCAACATACCATTTGTTCTCTTTCAAGAGAGTCGATGCCAAGCCTAGGATAACCCAGGGGTGGAAATAACTTTAAAATTGCTAGAGTACTCCAGTACAGTGGCACATGTAAAATCACTTGCCCTAATAATTTTTCCACTATACCGGCAGTTTTCTTGATTGATTTTTTAAATTAACAACATAATTAATATTGGAAAGTCAACTGGACACCGGTACAGTGTGATATACAAATTTGCTTGCCCGACAGAAAAAAACACTGGACTCGGTAGTCGGGCAATGGGTTATTTCCACCCCTGATAACCATATGTGTGTCCGTTCATTCATACACTTTTTCAGCTTGTTGTGGACAGCACACGTCGATCCATGTCAAACAAATCAGTACCATTTCAATCAGTTCCCCAAGATAGCTTTCTTTAGCTTTCTGAGTGAGGGAGTGAGAACAGTTTTAAGCCACTTTTAGCAATATTCCCGCAATGTCATTTCTGGGGTACACCAGAAATGGGCTTCACACATTGTACACATGAGGGGAAAATTTCTCTCAGAAATATATGCCGCTAGGATAGTTTCATATGTATCAAACGGTAATTCCAATTTTCATCACAGAGAAATGTTTATGTTCATATGTTTGTTGATTGAAATACCCTCAGAAAACATTTGCAGCAGATCCACTCACAGCAATCAACCCCATGTAACACGATTCCCATGGCCATTTGCAGAATTAAACAATCTAATGTTAGGACAGTTTGCTCATGTACACAACATTCGACATAACCAAACATTCGACATAACCAAACATTCGACATAACCAAACATGATTTCATTCAAACATACATTTGACAGATAGTGAGTGACAGATGGTGAATCTTTGGAAAGAGAAAGAGAAAACAAATATCTTAAATGAAACAGTATATATTCTGGTGCTTATTTAGTACCCCTGAGTAATCTCAGGAAAATATGCTGCCACTACTGGGTTTGGTCAGCGATAAGCCTCAAGTACTAAATGAGCACAATGTTGGTTCCCATTTCACCCCTGGAGAGATGTCTAGCCTGTTAATCCCGAAACTGTTAAACTTGGCAGAGGACAACTGAAAATCCAATTAGTCCTTTTCAACTGGTATTAATCATTCTCTTCCCACAGAGGTTACTTGTCATATCTTCCTACGAGCTTCTGTTCCAATACGGGCCCTTTCATGGTGGGAGTGTTCAGGATTCGTGATTGGTTGAAATCAGATTTAGTTGTGCAATCAGCGACGTTTCAAAAGTGATCATTCGCATAGCCTCAGTAATTTTCGTATGCTTCAGGAAAACTAGAACGTCTTCTTCTGTGCAATGCGCAAACGTTTCTTCTAGACAGAACTCAGTCATGTAATGCAGAATCAATGGCGTCTCCATCGCCCTTGTTGACAACGGACAAGCTGGCCATTAAATGTCTTGAAAGGGTCGTATTAGAACAGAGGTTCGTAGGAAGATATGACAAGTAACCTCTGTGGGAAGACAAAGGGTAGTAATGTGAGGCCATTAAACTTGAACCACTTCTCCATGCTAATCGTTATACCAGGTCTAGTTGTGAACACAGGATCCATGCACAAGTTTCTCTCAGAAAATAATTGCCGCTAGGGTAGTTTCATGCATTATCAAACGGTAATTCCAGTTTTCATCATGGAGAAATTCACATGAGGCACTAATGTTAAAAAGGTCACCTGTCACTACTTTTAACGCTAAAACAAACTGGGAGTATTCATTGTATTCATTTCAGAGATGGTTGCCACATGAATACAGTTCACACTTGCTTTAGTTTGGAGGGAGTGGAGAGTAATAATCACCTCGATTTCTGGTCCACCAACCCACCGGACAGCTGGCAGCTCCTTCTGCAGCAAGAGGTGGTTGGCTTCATCATCAAAGCCCCACTGGCAGATGACTAGATTAGCTCCCTTGTCCTTCACCTGAAAGCAGTTCACATCAGTCATCACTGTCATGTGATCAAATTGTTAATTTTCACAGAAATTTTGAAAGTATACCAAATACTCCTCTATACTGAGGGGAACAAATACAGGAACACCACATCAGTTCCTTTTATTTTTAATCACATTTTCACCCAGTGAAAAACAAAGCTAGCAAAAAAACCTGGAAAAGAATGAAGGTACGCTTGAACATTGATATATTTCCTTATTTGGTTCCGCCAGTAAAGTATTTTCTCAAATACATAATTCAGTCATAATAGATAATATATATTAGAAGCATCAGTTTGTACTCCAGAAATATTTATGCTCGTCTTATATGTACCCCAATGTACCCATGTGGCAAATACAACCCAGGCCTTCAGTATGATGAGCAAACACTTTAACCACTTGGCTACCCAGCCACCCTCAATGATCCGATTCAGATACGTACCGACTGCACCATGTCTTCAAATTTCTTTACTTCATATTCCCTCAGCTTCTTGTAGTCTTCAACAGACTTGACATCAAGCTTGTGCTTGGTTTTGGGCTTAGGTGGCTCAAAGGGACATGTCAAGATGGCCATTTTGGCATCCTTGACCAACTGGAATGAAATGTTCACATACGATCAGCATTTCATACATTTACATCCAGGTCTGCTGCATACAAACAAAACTTCAAGAAATGTTTCATCCGTATCAGTGTGTGAGACTCATTGAGTAAGTCTGACAATGGTTCGGGATGATTTCCTCTGGCATGTTGTCTGGTCCACTCAGTTAATGGAGAAACTGGCAGAAATTTGACATGCCAAAATCTGAACTGCTTAAAAATCTAATCCAAATTCATTTTCAAGATTCCCTACAAGCTGCATAATCGTGTTTTTCAATCAAGTTTTTGAATCAACGACAGATGGGATTTGTTGGTTTTCTTTCTGCCCATTAGTTTGTAAAGGTGATGGTTTTCATGGCATCAGATTTGACTTATAGTCTGTTTGACTTCATTTGAGACTGATGAATTGCTCACTATCACAAAATGTAATAAATGCAACAAAATCAAACTTTGCACAGTCACATGAAATCGACAGACCGATTTGCCTCAATTTTGGACACCTGAATAAAAAAAGTGTTTTTTAACAAACAATCATTATTTTGTTGTCACATTTCGCTATTTCTTACTAGGGGGGACCACTTGCTGGTAGAACAACCAGGTGTGCGAGCTGTTCGTGTGAAATTGAAATTTTTCTGCACACGCTTGTTGATTACCTGGCTGTTCTACCAGCAAGTGGTCCCCCCTCGTAAGAAATAGCGAAATGTGACAACAAAACAATGATTGTTAAACAACTTTTTTATTCGTGTGTCCAAAATTATGAGACAAATCATCAGAGTTGGTCTGTCGATTTCATGTGACTGCAAAGTTTGATTTTATTGCATTTATTACATTTTGTGCCAGTGAGCAATTCATCAGTCTCAAATGAAGTTAAATGAACTATAAGCAGTTGTAAAATCTTGTAGCTCAAGGCGTGTGAAAGATACATCCTATTGTGTATTTGTGATCACACTTCCCAGTGACCAGTTCCAGAGAATCCTGGATTTTGTGTAATAATGTCAGACTCCAAAATTTAGTTCTTGACAAACTGATTTCAGGGTGAACATTTAAGTAGAACGCACCTCGTAGGAATCTCTTTAATGTAGTCTCTGTGGTGTCAGTGCATTATTTATGTTTAGTAATGTTTAAAAGAAGCTGGAACTTCTTGTAAGTTGAACATTGTAAATGTTTCATCCGTATCAGTGTGTGAGACTCATTGAGTAAGTCTGACAATGGTTCGGGATGATTTCCTCTGGCATGCTGTCTGGTCCACTCAGTTAATGGTGGAACTGGCAGAAATTTGACATGCTCTTGGACAACTAACCATGCAATAAATTGTAGCTTCAAATCTCAGTTGAAAATACTCTCCTAGGGTTCTGCTTTGTAGATGGACAAATGACTGATGAAACATACGATCAATAATTTCGCTTTGATGACACTCGTACTGCCAACCATCTTGTTCCATTTGACTTCTACTTAGTCTGCACATACACAGGAAATAAACAGTTAACTAAGTAAATGATATCAGTGAGTTAGAATTTTAGTCACATCAACAGAGATTCAGCCATATCTTGAAACTTTCAAAACGCTTTCCACTATATGCTACCCCACTTTCGACAAATCTTGACTGCGAGTTAAACATAACCAGACTGATATTTAAACAAAGGATATATTCACCAGCCTTAACATTAATATAACAAAGTAAATTATCAAGACATTGTGAAAACTTGCCACCAGTCACTAGCAGCCAAAATGTTTGATCACAATTATTTGGGTCTAAGAAGACTCGATCATCTTTGCTCTGGCACCTCAGGAAAACATAACCTACCTTGGGCATCTGTGGGTGGCTCATGTCCTTGTCCACTATAACTCCCTTCACCAGCATTGTGTCTTCCAGCTTGCCTCCGACTTTACTCTCAATTTTGATGAGCTCGAAGTCAACGTCCTTCCTGTCTAAGTCGGCAACAGCCATGATTGCATTTACTGCTATTTCTGCCATCTGCCTGTGGCATCGGTTCACACTATGAAAGAATAAGGAAATGATATTTGTAATGAACTTGTTAGCAGGAATACAACTGCACAGTGAATTCCATTGTCCGAGAAATTCCACAGAAGTTGACATAGGTAAATTGACAGCTGAAGTCGAAGAATGTTGAACATTAGTCAGTACTTTTTGAGACTACTAGCCTACATTCAGGACTCATTTTCAGAAGAATTTGGTCTTCTGTGGACTATAATTAGCTGAGCTAACTTGACAGAACAGAATTTTACCAGAATCAGTGTTCAGAGAAGTGGTTAAAGATGCTGACTGACCTTCAAGCAATGGGAGTACATATAGTTAAAGCTTCATGCTTATTAACAATCCTTAAATAATTACATTTTTGATCCAAGCGTTGTCATTGCCAGTTTGACCAGTGGTTCAGACTCTTTGAGATTCACACCAAATGTCTCGCTTATCCTATTCAGTTCCTCCACTGCCACTTTAGCTGCCATCTCGTAACCGTCAGCAACACGGATGGGATGGATGCCTCGGTCCAGAAGCTGCTCAGCATGCTCTAACAGAGCACCTGCTAGCACTGTAACAAATACATATACACATGAAGGGTTTTGTTCATGTGTTATGAACTGCCAAATAAACAGAACTGGGTCTGGTAATCACTACCAACTATAAATCAATATGAACAAGAAGCAAACATGTTGAACAGCACAAAACATGCAAAAATATCCAAAGGGTTTTCATCACTTCATTGTAACATTACAATTTAGTGTCCAGGTTATTTTCTATCCCATGTGATCTTACTTGTTTAAATTGATCAGATTCATTCATTACCTAAAGCACAAGATGTTACAAATTGCTACATTCAAACAATTGCTTTATCAAGTAACCATAGTTTGAGAATTGAACATAAACCACAGCACAGTATCTTTAAATTATATATATATCCCAGTATACACTCAAACCTCTGGACAACACATGACAATTACACAATGCTGGCATTGTCTATAGTGTGATGTAAGGAAACTGGTGTCTTAACAGTGTTATCTTGAGCAATGGTTGGTGTTACTTTTGCCTTGATTTTTAAAATTATAACCCCAAGCTAGAAGTATTATATCATTTACACTGGGTTACAATTATTCAGGAATGTATTAAGATTCCTAAAGTAATCATAATAAATTTAGAATACATTTCATTCTATGCCTAAGAATAGATGGGGTTTTTAATAGAAAGGGGTTAAACTAACATTAATAAATCTAAACCCTAAACCTAAACCCTAGGCAAGCGGGGTTACGGGCGGAACTCTTACCAGTAAAGTTACATTTCCTCTTTTGGTTCTGTTACCAGTGAAATACAAATTCACATTGACTAAAACCTCTTCAGTATATAAGCATGATAACCTTTTCAAAAATGAGGAATTTAGCAATTCTCACGGAACTTTTTCCGACATCTACTACAGACTTGTCAAATATCTTGTCTCACTGACTGACTGAGTTTGGTTTTACGTCGCTTTTAGCAATATTCCAGCAACATCACTCACGGGAACACCAGAAATGGGCTTCACACATCGTACCCATGTGGGGATTCGAACCTGGGTCTTCGGCGTGACGAGCCAACAGTTTAACCACTAGGCTACCCCACCACCCCTCGTCTCTCTGACAGCAGGTCTAGATAAATCCACGTGTTAAGAAGCCCAAAGCAAATGTGAAGGAGATGTTCCTAACGTACTTCCCACTGGTCCTTAGGAATTACATTTCAGCTGCTGGAAATCTGTATCAAATATGTTCATGCAAAGTAAGTAATTAATCAAATACAGACATACCAACAACCCCAGTGGTTCCATCTCCAATTTCATCATCTTGTGACTTGGATAACTGCACCATCAATTTTGCAATCTGGTGGTCAACATCCATCATGTCTAAGATGGTGGCACCATCATTTGTGATTGTGAGGTCCCCATCTGGACTCTGCATCATTTTGTCTAAACCTTTTGGACCCAGTGAGGTCTTCAGGATGTTTGCAACTGATTTGGCTGCCAAAATGTGAGACTGAAAAGAAAAGAGGTCAGACTGTTAGCAAACTGTAATATCTTTCCATTTTGGGGGGACCAATGCAAATGCTATCCATGATAGTTTGACATATTTAATGCAAAACCTAAATATACCATGCATATGACATCAGCGAGTATATAATCACGTTTGGGCATGAGTGTGGTCAATATCATGATGATCATTAACAAAGATTCACACCGAAACGGAAGGTTCACGCAATCATTCTAGACTCATTAAGCTCTTACGCTGCTGGTCACTTATTCTTAAAATGAATTTCTACAGGGCGCACTGGTAGTTCAGGGCAATTATAAGCACGAACAAAAAGAATGTACTAGAAAGAATAACTGCTTCCTTCGTGTAGCTTTCAGTTTCAGGTGAATGAATCGTATGTTCCAGATAACTCTAGAAAATGAGTTCACAGAATGATTTCTTTGACAATTCACTGAATTATTGGGACAAATGTAAAGATGCTTTTCACACACTGGAAAATGATTCCAAGTAAAGTATCATTGGCAATGACGCTCTTGTCAGTCATGACTATACATGTCTAAGCAAAATAAACTTTCAGAGCAAGTACCTTGTGAGCCTCGATACCGGTTAAACGGCTCTTAGATTCTTCATCTTTTAAGATAATAAATGGCCGTCCATATTCATCAAACGCTATCGACCCTCCTCTGTTCATTTTGACTGGAGACAGTCAAGGATGCAACGGCAAGGTGTAGATTATGAGTGGATTCCTAACACATGGATATCTCACGCTTCTAGATTCTTCCGGAAATCAACATGGATGCCAAAATCTCGTGAACCGCGAGAAACTTGCCGAGATTCTCCCATGAACTATATTCGTCGCAACTGTTAACAATCCGATTAGATGTGTAGCTTGTGTGCAAATAGACGCGACAAAACCCTTTCCACATTCATAAGATATCACTGCTAAAAGCAGAGTCGATCTTACAATTGGGACTATATCATGAGTATGTATTTGTTTCAGCAGTATTATAGCTGTACGATATTGTTTGTAAACAATTCGAGTCTGGACCAGACAATCCAGTGAAGGTCACCATGCGATACGATGACAGAGCATGTGTTTATGAAGTTAATGGTTAGCCTGAACATTCAGACAGCACATGTAAAACACGTATTTAATTTAACGAAACGTCCAACATGTCGAGAAACTTATTACATCAAACCATTTTGCACACATATTCTCTATAATCTGAAAGGAAAATGGCAAAAATTAAGTGAGTGAGAAAATTGTTATGCCACGCCTATAACCAGGGAGAAAATAATAGGTAGAATAGGCTGTAGATTATCCCTGCTATAACATGCTATATGTGTGCATCAGATTCATTGTAAGTATTGACACAATATTTCATTATGATGTACATCACACAACAATTTAGTATTTTTAATACAAGGAGAAAAGAAAAGGATCGCCGACACTGTTTAGCGTGTAATGGCGTCTGCTAAAAAATCTGGTGAAATTTCAAGATGTACGTAATTCAGCAATGGGCATACCATTACTTCACATTTTGCCTTGAGCTGGTAGACGAGACTTGAATTTTCATACAAAAAGAAACAAAGGTATGTGACACCATTTGGATCCTTGACATTTGATGGTTATATTTTATTGGCAAAATTGGAAACAATTTCATTTTTAATAATGTCTGGAAATAATTTTATAAACTAAAATATACACCCGTCGAACCAATCAATTAAAACAACACGTTCCACTGATCGAACACTAAAACCAGTGGAGTACACTGTTCAAAGGTACCATTGATAATAATTATTGTTAATACACATTTCATCTCATTGTGTTTAGGTCTAATCATACCCGAACCAGAACATGTTGACAATCAAATCAGATTGTAAGCCGCAGCGTGTCAGGAAAGTAGGCGATAAATGTACACTCTATCTGTGTTTTCCTTTATGGATGTCAACTTCTATATTGCTGTGTTATTCACAATAAAGAAGTTGACATTCGTAGCTCATGCTTTTCTTATATGCATTTCACTTTTAAATGTGGAAATGGTAAACCAAAGCCCATTGATACTTTATTGTGAAGTATTATTAGAGTCCTCACTTATGTTTTATTGGTGTTTATAGTTTTTCTTGATAAAAACATTTCCGGTTTTACACGTGTACCACCATGCAGTGAATATGTTGTGGGGAAAGCACTATTTCCAGATTACCAATGTAAACAAATGGCGGCCTCCTTGGCAACTGCATCAGTTGAAAGAACGCCGAAATAGATCTCATAGACCCGGCGGAGTATTATCGTCTGTTTGTAGGAGTAGGTATATTGCACATCGCTAATCATGGCGTTTTTTGGATTGTCACAACTTGGTTATCAAAACACGATCAGAGAAAGTTCTGTGCAATCAAAACTTGATCCACAAAGGTCGAAAACACAGCTGGGATTCAGGGCGCTGCCACCTCTGACGGAGAAAAACCCAGGTCGTCGCTCTATCGTTCCCATCAACCAAGTGTCCAGCTATGCTCCGGGACCCCAGGGGTCGTATGTTGAATTCACACGAATGAGGACAAAGCACATCAGGAACCCCAAAGGTACGGAACAAAATGAAAAATATTTGTGCTTCATAACTATTTTATTTTCGAATTTGTTAACTTATTTTTCTAAGCCAATTTGCAATGCCAACAACATCATTTGCAATTTCAGTGAATCATTACCATGCAAAACATTGCATCGATCTGAAATGAACAAGAAATAGAATTCAAAGGCATTGGAAATGTACAATATCAGAATTGATTTATAATAGATATTGCCACAGTGTACATTTTCATTGTTTCGGGTGAAGTAAGTTACTTCAAATAAGGGAACCTCATGGGTCAGTCCATAAGTGGTATCGATAAAAGACACATTGATAGAAAATTAAAATGTTGAAACTGACATCCATTAACTATAAATAATTGATATATGTTCCAGGTCCTCATGATATCTACCGCTTCCCAGTGACCACATCCATCCAGACAGGCTGGCATGTTCTTCCCAGACCACTCACTGCCCGGGGGAGCCTTGGACGTACACACCCCATCATGCACACGTCAACAGTGAAATGACAAGGTATATGAAACTGCCTAAACTGCTTAAACTTATGAAAATGTTGGTAAAGGATGTGCAAAAACATTTTGAATTTGTTTTGCCATTTTTGTGATGCTCCTTGTTTAATTCAATACCATAAGTGTATACGAAAAATGTTTCCCTTCCCAAATGATGACATTCAGTTTCACCCACATGCCTATGTGGCCAAAATACCACACAATAAAAAAACTGACCCCCCTCTCTCAAATGATAGGTCACTTATTATTCTGTTCTACCCAATATTGACTGCTCTTTTTAATCATTTGCTTTTGTTTTCATTTTTATGTCCTTAACCATAGGGGCCGTGGGGTAGTCTAGTGGTTAAAGTGTTGGCTCGTCACGCCGAACAACCGGGTTCGAATCCCCACATGGTTACTATGAGTGAAGCCCATTTCTGGTGTCCCCCGCCGTGATATTGCTGGAATATTGCTAAAAGCAGCGTAAAACCAAACGCAGTCAGTCAGAGGCAGCCCTTAACCATAGAAACAAATTTTAAAATCAGGAGGAATGGAATGAAAAAAAGTGTTTTTAATGTTTTTTTCTGGAAGTGATTCCTTTGGTACTGTTGGCTTGGGAAATTGAATAAAAGGAATGTCTTTTTACAATACTATATTTAATGAAAAGTCTTGAAGGAAAGAAAATAAAAAGGTTCTTTTTACACCATAGTATATCTATTATTAGATTTTACTTCAAATTTTTATAATGTAAGGTGTATCTTAAGATATATATTTTCAGTAAGAAAGGGAACAAATATAGGCTATTTTAAGGCTACTTTGAATTAATTATTAGATTTCCATCTAAATTTCAAGAAATGAAAGATGCTATTTTTATAAGATGTTTTCTTAAAATCAAACAGTTCACTTAAAACCATACTCACTCACTCATTCCTCTTTGTAACCCTTTGGTACACATGTTATCTCTTACATAAGACGTAAAGAGCAGAAGATTTTCATCTAATACGAGGGCTGTTTTATTATGACATAGAGTACAGATATGTTTATACAAGGTATAAGAAAATCTACAACAAATATTAAAGTATTGTTGGTAGGAGAAATTATATAGAGGAATGAACCCTCCTGTTTGGAACTTTCCTTTGAATAACAACAAGAGTTATCTCCCTTTATAATACATCAAGTCCTGGTACACTCTGCAGTGTTACTGAAAAATCAAAAGATTCTGGCAAGGGAGTTGAAAAGGGCCTTTGTAAATTTCATGTTTATTCCATATTTGTGATATTTTAGGTTGACAGATTTTAAAACAATGCTTCTAAAGGATTCTTTAGTCTGTTACTTCATATATGATATTGCCCCAAAAGACCATTTTCCATTGACAATATCCATCTCATCTCTTTCTCCATATCATTCCTGACATGTCTCTTCAACCATCTGAGGCATTTATCTCCCCTTGGACTGAAGACACTGTTCGATTCCACTCATGTGTACAATGTGTGAAGTCCATATATGGTGTCCTCTGACATATTACTGGAATAGGGCGGTTGCGTAGCCTAGTGGTTAAAGCGTTGCTCGTCACTCCGAACACCCGGGTTCGATTCCCCATATGGGTACAATGTGTGAAGCCCATTTCTGGTGTCCCCCATCGTGATATTGCCGGAATATTGCTAAAAGTGGCGTAAAACTAAAATCACTCACTCACTCACTATTACTGGAATAATGATAACGGTTGCATAAAATCATACTTGCATGCATGCACACACGGATGGCTGCATATTCTATACTTTATCCAAAATTAAGAAATATATATTAATCGATAAATAGAGAATCTCACCCGAGTGTCTTTTGATATCAAATATATCACCACGAGTAGATAAAGTAACAAATATCCGAGGCTTGCCGAGGATATTTTTACTTTTATCAACGAGTGTTGATATTTTTGATATCAGAAGACACGAGGGTGAGATTCTATTTATCATCCAAAATCACTCTTCATTAGTTTTCAATGAAAAATGTACATCTCTGAACACAGTACTGCCATTAGATTTGCAGTGCAGCGATGTCATAACATTGTGACGTCAACAAGTTTATGACGTCATAGCATTGTCAGGGCATTGTACAAAATCTACTGTCAAAACGATATCTCCTAGGAGATATCGTCTGATCTCACACAAGCGATATCTACTGTGGAACACAGTTTTGGATGATAATTTCTATTATACATACTTGCATGCTTCTTTGGTTTGTGTTCCAGATTTGTCAACACAATGGCACTGACAAACAGGGAATTCACCTTATTCTGATGAGGATGTCAACTGTATAATACGCCATTTGTACTTACAGTCAGCATGTTACTCCACTGTCAGTCTTCAACTGATATGCTTTTTGTTATCTGTATATTTGGAATGATTTTTATAAGTATATAGCTTTATAAAGGATATATTTTGGCTTTGAAATAGTCTTTTAATTTATTGTTGTTTTGTATTGGAATTAATAGAATGCTTTCCCCAGATCATGTTATTGTTTTAATTATGGGAATTCTCAATTGAAATAATGTTTTATTTGAAATGTTAAGAAGAAATGTGGTGTTACCCTTCCTGTTCATTTGTATTTTGAGTAGAATTGGTATTAAATGTTGTTAAGCATTTTAAATTGTAAACTTATACATTGGTTTTCTGAACATGTAAAGGAGAGATCACAGATTTCTCAATACAATGACATGTACTTGTCTGAAGCATGCGCAGACTTTTCTAAGTGGAAAACAAAGTCTCTTCATAGCATGAATTGTTATACTCAGATTCCATATAACTTTTGATTTGTTATCAACAGTATTATCATGCAGGCAAATCTGCTTTTCAAAGAAGCATTTTTTAAATGATTTGATTTCTGTTTACCTTCTTCAAGTATAGATTTCATATTTACATACATTTACATTCATTTGTTTGCACATATTTGTGTGCTGTAGATAGTGAGTTGTACCATCATTGTTGCCAGAATCCCGAGGTATGTTGACGACACAACACCTACACCCTCTTATGTTTGTTTGACATATAAGGAATTCTCATTCTGGAAACCCAGTTACATTTGTTTTTTCGAGGAGAAGGTTGAAGGTTGTAGAGACAGACCAGTTTCAAAATAACCATATATGATCTTGAAACTTTAGCAGAACCTTTCTTAAATTAACACTCAGATTTTAAAAAGTCTCAATTGATAAATAATTGTTATTTCATTATTTTGCAAAAACATTATTAAAGAAAATTTTATAACATTGACATACAAGGTTAATTTTATGCATGCGTTTTAAGCACTATTTTTCTCTATTAAATTTTCACTTTATCTACCTTTTAATGTATATGTATGGTGGGTGTCTGAAGAAATGCTACAAATGTTTAGAAAGACATCTTCTTGAATTCTGGAAACTTTGTCAGCATAGTAAAGCAGACCTGTTTCTAAGTACTGAGATTATTATGAGTCTTGTATGAGCACAAATCTGCAGCAGTTTACCATCATAAGCCTATTTTGAAACGGGGTCGTAGGGTAGCCTAGTGGTTAAAGCGTTTGTTCGTTATGCCAAAGACAATGTGTGAAGTCCATGCCATGATGAGGCATCATAAAACTAAACTCACTCAGTTTTGAAACCAAGGAGTTTCAATTGCCTTAGTAGTTAGATTGTAGCCCCCATTTTTCAACATAGGCTTACAATGCTGTTGTGCTAAGATGCTTTGTGGAAGGGGTGTTGGATCCTGCTGATGAAGCAGAATGGAAGATGTTCAGTCAATGTGGCTTGGTTTTGAGACCCAGAAACCTTCTCCGTGAGCCACACAACTGTGACAATGGTTTCAAGCTGCTGAAATATTTGGTCTTTACAGAAAGAACTGATTGTAGTATTTCTCTGTCAACCTCATCGCTTGCCAGATTTTTGTGTATGTTGGGAGAAAGTCACAATTACTAGTATTACGATATCAGTATTACTTGCAATTCGATGTATTTTGTCACCTCTTTTTACAGATTTATCTGTATTTTATGCCGTTTTCCAATTTAGGAACATGGAATTACCTAGTGTCAAAAATGCGAGTTTCCCTTGCACTTTATCTTAACTTGTTTCATTTTACTGTTACACCAGATTCACTGTGCTGTTCAGAAATAATGACATTCATAACAAAGTCCTTTGTCGGCCATACAGACTTTGAAATGTTAGTTTACATAGCTAAATATAAGCAATGTAATTGTGCGCTAGATTGTCAGTGACTCTCAAGAAGTTCTGTTCATGACAGGTTTTGTTCTTGGTCACCTTGTCAAATTATCATTGAATTACAGGCAAACCCTGCTATGACACATAGCGGAAATGTCCAGTATTGTAAACCACAGGCATTGTGAAGGCACTGGTCATACATGCAAGGAATGCCTTAACTCTGTTAACAACTTACAACCTGTTCAATATTTGTCAGTGACCCAACCAATGTTTATAGAATATAAGTTGTTTGTAATTTTAATGATTTAGTTTCATGGAAGTAAGGTAGATCACATGACAAACAATTGTAGAAAAGTTTGTGATCATATTTAATGTCACTGCTACTGACCCATACTAATCTTTGGAAATGTGAGTCTAGTCTTAACCTCATTAGTTCCTGATTCTTTGTTTTATAGTTCAAGTACATGTACCACTTTAGTGACTCGTTAATTTGAGGATTTAGGGTATCTGGATATCTTTACCTCTCCATATAGAGACATTCAGTCACAACACAGACAGCAGAGCTTCATGTGTCTGATGTATGGGGATTGTATGATGCAATACGTTTGACATGATACACCATTTCTCTTTGACAATGTCTCTCACAAAGTTTCCAATACTTTAATAAAGTCGTTAAAATTTATTCTTGTTTCAACTGAATTTACAACTGGAAATAAATACAATGTCCCCTAAGTGCAATTCTTTTTCGTTTATGAAATTTCATGTTTTGCAGATTTGAGGATAGCTGATCCAAAAGCACAAGAAAACAATACCTCTGACAAACTGTTTTGTTTTATCCCAATAAGCTAAGACCCTTGGCCTCTAGCTGTGTACCCGCCTCCTTGCATCAGACCTTTGGCCCCTAACTCTAAGTTATATGGACCTGTGAAGATCCGGGTTAGAAACATTGATCTTCAGTAACCCATGCTTGTCGTAAGAGGCGACTAACGGGATCGGGTGGTCAGGCTCACTGATTGGTTGATACATGCCATCGGTTCCCAATTACGCAGTCGATGCTCATGCTGTTGATCACTGGATTGTCTGGTCTAGACTCGATTATTTACAGACCACCGCCATATAGCTGGAATATTGCTGAGAGCAGCGTAAAATTAAACTCACTCACTCACTAAGTTATCTGTATCATGAGTCAAAGTCAACTTCAGGTTCAGCATGAGTCGAAATTGACTGTGTCGTGTGAGTCGAAGTCGTCTGTAACGTGTGTCGAAGTCGTCTGTACCCTGTTGAAATCAACTTGGCTTGAGTATAAGTTGTCTTGATTATGACTATAGCATAAGTCGTCCAATTCGTAATCATTAAAACGATAACTGAATACAGCACCAATGGTGATTATATATGATTCACAATAGTAAAGGTGTCTACGCCTTCCCGAAGTTTTCTTTAACAATGCCATGTAGGTACTAAATGTTGGTTACTAGTCAAACCCATCTGAGAAATTTAAATGCATCCTTTTTAAAAGAGCTCGTAACATCATACGGACAAGAGTTTCGCAGAGGAGTCCATTCTTGTAGTCAATGATTGTTTCGTTGGTGCTGGAGTCGGACTCGGATGCCACCTGTCGAACAGAGAGGCTGGTTAGGTACGCAACATATACGGATGTATTTGTCTAGTTCCAAAACAGAAGCAATGCGCACGCCATTGTCATTTTGCTGTGATTTCCACCACTGCAATCCCTGACCTTAGCATCGCTGAGAATGTCATGAAGCCATGTCCTCACTTCAGACGTGCCTTTCCAGTGACGGACGGATAATTAGTAATGCCTGATGTAAAATTGGAACCTTCTGTCTGTGGACGCAACATTAAACGGCATTTGAACATTGTTTGCAGGGGTTTCGCGACTGTTTTCAGCTTAGGAATGCTTTTGATTTATACACTTTTATTCCTCCAATGGAGAGTACAAGGGAATGCGAGAAAAGTTAAGATAGTTTTAAGTTAACAAGAGAAGCGCATAGAATATTCATGCATTACAGGTCGCGTAGAGTCCGTTAACAACAGTCAGTGTGTACAGCTCAGTCTCCTCGCCAGAGAGCAGTACTGGGGGGCGGCAGGAAAGTAGGCTGCACACCAGGTCCATATCAGTCTTGTTGTGTAGTTGCACGCTCAACTCCACCGGGCCCACGTTGATAATGTCACACCAGAGTTGGTCTCCGCAACCAGCACAAGCTTCACACGATGTTAGGACATGGATCAGGAGGTCAGCACAGTTCACACTACATTTATCACAAGGTCCATCCAAATGGCAAGGACGCCAAAGAGCACACACTTGTACTGTGAAGATGCATTGTTGTTTCAAGGAGGGGTATCTTTTGGCAAGTAGCCAAGCTGGGTGTGGCTCTATCGAGGGGTGTAATGTCCTGAAGTGTCTGAGATCTGGATCTGATGTCATTCGTTGGTTCCAGGAGGATTTCTCGTATTCCATGACAGAGTCTTTTACAATCTTCTTCCAGGAGAGTTGACTCATGAAGATGCCGGAGGAGACAAAATTCTCAAGAAAGTGCCTCAGTTTGTATTTTTCAAGTACATGAACTATATCTGGTATAAATCCTGTTCTTGTCTTCAATATGCAGTTTCTAAACGCAAACAGGCGTGAGATAAAGAGTTTGAAGCAAAGTAGGTGTTTCTTACTGTTACACAAGGAGCCAAGGCAAAACAGCTTCTTTGTGTCAATATGTGATTCTGCCGAGTACCATCCAATCAGGGAGTTACATATGTCAGATCTAGTAGTTTTGGGGAGCCCCTGACACATCTTTAAACAGAATCGTTGTGCCCTTTCGACAGTGATAATGTCGCTCTTTTTCAACCCTGACCACAATTCGCACCCAAACAAGGCTTTGGGTAGACACACAGACTTGACAAGATTGGAGCTGGTAATTCGCGACTGTTTTCAGCTTAGGAATGCTTTGATAACATTATTGATTTTTGGGGGTCATATCCAAATTTTGAGTTGATACTTGGTTCTTTGCCACAGTGAATAATATTCAAGTCGTAGTCCGTAAATATACGAGTCTGGCGCCTTATTCACGATCGCGTTCGCAGCACTGCGTCATTTACAATCCTATGGTAAACTATATAGTTACGTAACATATGTTATATTTGGGATTACACTTTCTTTGTAAAGTACAGATTCTAGTACTTTTGGGTTGAGTCCCATCCGGGATCAACATGGGGTAGTGGGAACCAGTATCAAGAAAACAGAACAATTTAAACATGTACTTGTTTCAACAACCGCTGTAGGATATACACAGAGGGGACACGATGGATCACCAAATTACTCACATACGTTAGCCCCAGTACTAGACACAAGAGTACGCGAGACATGGTGAAAGATGCCATTGATCCAAACAATCACCTTCAGATGAACCTTGGCTTCTAATACCCGTGAAGGTCCGGGTTAGAATATTGGCCTTCAGTAACCCATGCTTGTCGTAAGAGGCGACTAACGGGATCGGGTGGCCAGGCTCGCTGATTGGTTGACACATGCCGTCGGTTCCCAATTGCGCAGATCGATGCTCATGTTGTTGATCACTGGATTGTCTGGTCCAGAGTCGATTATTTACAGACCACCGCCATATAGCTGTAATATTGCTGAGAGCGGCGTAAACTAAACTCACTCAGTCACAGCATGAATCCTCATAATTTTACCTTGCCAAATGAACATTTAAATCTCAGAATTTTATTCAACTTAGGATAAAAGTTGTTTAACAAACGATCATAAATTCAAATCGCTATTATTGGTTTGTATTACAAGGGGGTGAGCGCAGTAGATGGAACAGTGAAACAAATGCACGTGCGGTACGTGATGAGCGTTAACTTAAACCAAACACTACTTGTTCTCGGTGTTTAATTTAAAGTGCATACCCCCTTGTAATGCAAACCAATAATAGCGATTTGAAACTATGATCGTTTGTTAAACAACTTTTATCCTAAGTTGAATAAAATTCTGAGATTTGAATGTTCAATTGGCAAGGTAAAATTATGAGGATTCGCAATCTTAATTTCACTTTATTCGATGTACCTTTTTGTTTAGAGTGAAATTCATCAGTGCGTTTTCACTGCAAACAGACTATAACTTTCGTACCTTGTTCTGACACTCTATCCGGAATGTATCCTTTATCATGCACTCCCTGACCCACGGAACCTGTCATGAATTTTCAATACCCTGTTACGAAACTGTCATGGTGTTTGAAGATCATCACTCTTAGGGTGTCACCTATCTTTATTTTCTAGAGTATAGGTATGAATCTGACAAGACAGATCACATCCATGTTTGAATTTATTCTGCAAAGCGAGATTATGAATATTAAACAATGAGGTGTACGTTTGTTGCACTCCGTCAGATGTAATATGAATGGATGTCACCGTTGGTTCAGTAATTACATGCAGGCTCTCCCCTAATGGTGAATCTGGAGAGGGGAAACTTGTCATTTACTCGCGTAAATACAGGAAGTCAGACTTTGCATCACTGTAAACATTGTTCATGTGACGCAGAAAAGTGTTGAATTGAATCCCCGACAACCAGCTCTGTTTTGAGTTGAGCAGACAGCTCGGCATTTTTCGTTAGTAGGTCATTAGAATGTTGAAAACTCGGAAACAGAAAATTCAGATGTCTGAATTTGTTATGTTTTGTTATTTGAAATTCACCAAAATAGGTTTACTTGTTTAAGACGGGTTCAGTTAGTGCAGGACATGCTTGTGATATGAAAACAAATGGTGTTTCCGTGACATTCAGATGAATGAATGCAAATCCATGGCATATGAAAACTCTGTAGCCGGTCGAATTGGTAGACCTTGGCTCAGCGTGTCTTCAGTTTGAACGCAATGCACGACAGTTCAAACATCTAGTACCGAGGTATGTTCTAAACAAGCAGCACATGTTCGATCATCGATAAACCTATGGGCCAGTATATTTTTACCCTTTTCTCGAACACCTGGTGTTATCAATTTTCAGTCAAACGCCCCGGGGATTCCGGGTCAGGAGAGGTCCGCAGCAACATATGCTGGATGTCAGAAGCACCACACTGGACACCGGATGAAACGAAGTCCGCAGCTAGCAACATACGTTGGATGTCAGAAGCGCCATATTGAACATACGTTGGATGTCAGAAGCGCCATATTGGATCATGACGGATACATGAGACAGAAGGCCCATCAACAACATATGCTGGATGTCAGAAGCGCCACATTGGACACCGGATACGTTGGATGTCAGAAGCGCCACATTGGACACGTTGGATCATGACCTACGCTGAGACAGAGGCCACATTGGACTGACAACATTCGTTGGATGTCAGAAGCGCCACATTGGACACCGGATACGTTGGATGTCAGAAGCGCCACATTGGATCATGACGGATACTCATGAGATGAAGGTCCTCAGCAACATGACACCGGATACGTTGGATGTCAGAAGCGCCACATTGGACACCGGATACGTTGGATGTCAGAAGCGCCACATTGGATCATGACACCGGATACGTTGGATGTCAGAAGCGCCACATTGGACACCGGATACGTTGGATGTCAGAAGCGCCACATTGGACACCGGATACGTTGGAAGAGGACAGCAGCAACACGAGACGCATTGGGGATTCCCTGTTATAGAATAAAGTCCCCAACAACCTACGACGGTCGAAACAAGACCAAACGGGTGATCAGGCTCTGTGACTTGATTAAAT